GATGCCAAAAATTCTGAGGAAACTGTGGAGCATCCTATTTAGAGGAGGATTTCTCCTCTTGTTATGTCTTTCTAGCTGGTTCTGTCCAATTTATCCTGGAGGTACGGTTGGTCGAAAAAGCTGACCCCGCCCCTGCCCCCCAAAGCAATCAACAGCTGTTACTATATTGAATGGCAATATGATGTCATATCATAGGTGACTAACTCACCGAGGCTTCCCTGCGAGCCATCATCTAAATATGACAGCCTTCCATCACCCTGACCTTTTCGCGGGAGAAAGCTGAGTGAGGGGCTTGATACTGCTTCCCAGGGCTCAAGTTCATGACTGACCTTCTGTGGCCAGCATTTCTGACCGAGCATGTGAGAACACACATGCCCACCCCCACACACAGATTCCCTTCCTAGTAGAAGGTCACTTTCATACAGACAGCTTTCTTCCAATGGCCTGACTTTGAAGTTGGTATGTTTAATAATCACCGATAGTAGAGAAGAGTTGGGGGTGCTGTATATATTTACCCTGGTGTATATCCAAGGTACTGGGTTAGATACCTTACATAATGTTTTTAATGCAATACTCAAAATGCTCTGAGGACAGGCATTATAGTCCTGTGGAGTTAGAGAAACTGAGATCAGGAGGGTTGAGTAACTTGCCCAAAGTTACAGAGCTCGTCGTGGTGGGGTTCAAATTCCAGTCCAAGTCTCTGACTCCACAGTGGACCAAACTCCTACATACAAAAAGGTGTAATCACTGCACCTGGATTTTTTTTAATAGACTTCATTTTGTAAAGCCGTTATAGGTTCACAGAAAAACTGAGCAGAAACTATAGAGATTTCCCATAGACCCCGTGCTCCCACTATCAACATTGCCCACCAGGGTGGTGCATCTGTTATAACTGATAAACCCACATTGACACATCATCATCACCCAAAGTCCATAGTTTACAATATGGTTCACTCTTGGTATTGAGCATCCTATGGGTATGGATAAATGCATAATGACGTGGATCCATCATTACAACATCATGCAGAATATTTTCACTGCCCTAAAATTCCTCTGTGCTCTGCCTATTCATCCCTCCCCCCCAAACCCCGATAACCATTGATCTTTTTATTGTTTCCATAGTTTTGCCTTTTCCAGAATGCCACATAGTTGGAATCATACAGTATGTGGCCTTTTCTGGTTGGTTTGCTTCACTTAGTAATATGCATTTAAGTTTCCTCCACGTCTTTTGGTAGCTCGATGGCACAATTCTTTTTAGCACTGAATAATATTTTGTTGTCTCTGTGTAGCACAGTTTATTTGTCCATTCACCTACTGAATCCCCTGGCTTTGAAAACTTTATTCCAGTGTGGTTCACTGGTCTCCCTCTTTTGGACCCCATCCCGGCCTCTTCTCTCTTGCTACCCACACAGCCCCTGCTGGGGGTGGGGGGTGGGGCGGGGGGTGGACCTTTGGCATCTCTTGTCAATGAATCATTTCAGCAGCCTGGGAACCAGCTATTCCTCCAGGACGAGCTCTGGGGCTGATCTGAGGAGAGCTCTCACACGCACACGTACCATAAAATCAGAACATTCCCTTTCCCCTCCATGCCAAGTATACTCATGTTTGCCCTCCAGCCCCCAATACGGTCATTCCTAGTATGTCCCACCACTTACCACACAGGTTTCTCTCTTCTTATTCCATCCGTTCATCCATCCACCCAACAAGTATTTATTGAGCACCTACTAAATGTTGGTCCTAGATGGCAAGTCCACAGAGGACACTGAATGTATTTACCTTAGTTTGCAAGGAAGAGGAGTTACACCCACAACAGGGTCCCATTCCATTGAGAAATACTATTTGATGGGGGGGGGGTGTATGGAGATAAACAGGACTGAAAATAGGCCTGTGAGACCATCTGAATGAATTATTATCATCAGATTATAATATAATTATATTTATCACATATAAAATTATATGTTAATTATTAAATTATTATTATTATTGTTGCTATTTTTAAAAAAACCTCTGATACAGCACTTTCTGGTTTTTAGGACTTAAGTACTTTTACATAAATGGTAAACCTATTCGTTGCCTGAAAAGGGTGTACAGGCTGAAACAGAAATAGATTAAAGAAAATTTCAAATTCCTGGAGGGCAGATCTATAACAAGTTATTAAAGTGGAGTTAGGAATAACTAGGGTGCATTCCTAACCAGTGAGAATGAGGTCACGAAGGGTAAGCGCCATAATCCAGTCCAAGCCATTCTAGTGGCCCCATGAGGGGCAGGTGCTCAAGAGAGACAGAGTTCCGGGCTGACCCCGCGGGCCATTGCTAAGCGGTTACTATGGAGCCAGATTCACCCAGGGACCTCTGAGCTTCCACTATGCTGGGGGCGGGCTGAATGGCTTCTCCCCTGTCCTTCTGCTCTGCCAGGGGAGCAGCCGTATATAATGTCTCACATCTCTCTCCCAACAAAAGCAACCCTTTGCTGTGTGTCATCCAGTGAGTCACCAGCACGGGTGGGAACAGACCCAGGATTCCTGCTCCTTTCTTTGCTGGGGCTGTTTGCTGGAGATGACAATCCCCCCACATGAGCAGCCAGTTACGTTTATGGTTCTTAATGACATTTAATGGGGCTTATGGGATAGGAAAATAATGGGAAGTGAAGGCTGGGAGATAAAATATCAAAATCTGAAATGACACACCAGATCCTGATTCCTGAAGGTCTAAAACTGGCAATCCAACTCAGCACGTCCTTCCGTTGGGAAATGGTTCCTAGGGCTGAGGAGGAATCACGCCCTTACCCAACTCGAGATTGGATGGGAGAGAGAAGGAAAGGGGAGAGGGAACAGCCAGGGGTCTCTGCGACTGTGTTCTTGGATTCGCCCCTATGATTTCATCTCTATATTTACTTCATGTCACCGTTTGTTTTCCGTTTCGGCACATATGTGACATGTCACAGTTTATCATGCACATTTAACGCCCATTGTCCCACCAGAGTCTTGTCACAGAGCTGTGATCCGTAGAAAGAGCAGTGGGTACAAGGTCAGTTGACTAGGACTCTCTACCTAACAGGTCATGTGAGTCCAAGTAGGTCACCCAACCTGGACCTTAATTCCCTCAGAGAACAGGGCTAGACTGGTTGGCCTGAAGGTGCCCTACTGCTCTAAACTGCCATGTCTGCGTGTTCAGCCCCGCCGAGGAAGATGCTGCCCCCATGACCCCCCACCCCCAACTGGCTAAGGCCGCCCGTGGTTTTCCCCATCTCCTCCTGAGGCTTTGCTGGAAGCACACAGGACACGTTCGGTCACAGGCTCCAGAAAACCTGGCAGAACAGAAAGAGCAGTGGACAGGGATTGATCCGTCAGTATGACACTGTCATACTGACAGTATGACAAGGATCATACAATCCCGAGGACAGAAGCAGGGGACACACAGAGGAGAGCTCTGTGGTGGCTGGAGACTGGGTCCAGGGGAAGAGGGGTCAATTTTCAATGTCTCTGAGGGGTGAGCTGCAGGGAAGAAGGTGCTTTCGCTAGACCTGGCGCAGGTACTCTGAGGATGTGGGAGTGACACTGAGCCAAGGACCAGTAACGACTGTCAGAAGAGAACAGTCACAACAGCTCACCTACACAGGCACCCGTATTTTGCTCAAAACTTTGAGAAGCAGTTGATGACTCTAATTTGTTTTTGGCACAAACATGCTGTTCCAACGGGAAATTTTCTGTTGCTTTATGCGGAGGGGATTATGGGAGGAGAAACAAAGTATTTCTTCTGCACTTCCGTGGGGCTGGCCGCTGGTGCTCCATGAGGACGCTGTAAGCAGGCTGGTCTCTCTAGTCTCAGGAGAGGAATCACAGAGTCCAGGACAGGCCTGGTAGGGCTGGGACTAGAGTGGGGGGGGGGGGTGTGAGGTGGCTTGGGAGGCACTCGCTCTCAGGGTCCTGCAAGTGCAGGATGGGCACCTCCTCATTGCCTTAGCCTTGTGCAGGCCCTGGGGCCTGGCCTCCTCTGGGCATCTTCTAGCATGCAGTGGTTACTTGTTCAGAGGCACTGGGCTTGTGTAAAAGGGAAAAACTGGTTCTAGGGGACTCAATGTACAAAATAAGACATATTTCATAGCCCACCACAGTCCCCAAAAACATGGACTTGGGAGTCCAACTGACCTGGGAATGGTTTCCAGCTTGCCATCCTTTAGCTGTGTAACCTAGGGAAACATACTTAATCTTGCTGTGCCTCGATGTCCTTCCTCATCAATATTAAAATAGGGACAATAACACCGACCTCAGACAGGAGGCATGAGGATTAAAAGAGGGGGACAAGGAGGGTAATGAAAATACCTGCCTCATGGTAAACCTCAGCGTAGCAAACCTCCCTGTGAGGCTGTGATAGCGTTGAATGACCAAGTGTCGGACAGGGCTCTTGTTCTGGAAGCTTCCACAGGCAACATTAGCATCAGAGGAGGGTTTGGAGACCAGTTCACCAATGTCACACCCAGAGTTCAATAACTTGTTACAGACTGCATGACTAATAACAGTTTGGACACAGTCAAAAACAGTGATAAATGGGACAAGCTGGCCCAAATTGATGGATCACATGAACATTCAAACCACAGCTTTTCCCTACCAACAGATGTATAAACATATGAGGAGGGCTTGTAAGTGAAGGGGTACGGAGTCAAGGGCCAGGAAAACTCTCTAACTTTTGGGTCAAGATCAGATTCTGGTTAATCAAGGAGGGCTTCCAGGAGGAGGTTCTGGGGCATTCGGCAGCCTCCAATGAGGCTCAGTTGCTCTCCTTTCTTTCATCACCATCTCAACGGTCAACACTTCCCAGTACAAAGGATAGAAGATGGGCTCTGACCCCACAGTTGGCTGACTGCCGTCACCTCTCCAGACCTTTCACGATCCGACGCCTGGTCCCTTTAAGACATCGAAACTCAGTGAACGTTCTACGGGCGGCCTCGCGGCCTCCGCGAGGCGCGCTGACGTCACCCTTCGGGGAAACGGCTGACGTCAGCGCGTCCTCGGCGAGTGGGGCGGGGCCGTGACTCACCCGAACCGCGCCCCCCGCCCGCTGTCGAGCGCACGTGAGCGCGCGCCGCGCTGCTTTCTAAATTTAGCTCGGCGGCTTCGGTGGGGGTCGGGCGAGGTAAAGGGGGCCGAGGGGACCAGGCGGGTTGGGGGGGCGGCTGTCCCAGTCCCTGCTCGCCCCGTTGGCGGCCCTCCTGGAGGACGAGGGCCCGGCCGGAGGGTGGAGCGCGGGCGCCTCCCGACGCAGCGCCTCAAAGGCCTCCGCGTGCAAGCCCGGCCCCGTGTTCGCCCTGCCCCCGAGTAGGCGCTCAGTTAACTGGCAGCCAGAGTTCCCTTCTGCTCAGCGACTCGGGACTTCCCAGAGAGTCCAGAGTTCTGGAAAGTTCCCCGGTGGACGGGGTGCGGTGTGGGCTGAAGTCAGAACAGGCGCGGGGCCCGAGGCCGTCGGGGCCCAGCCCTCGGGGTCCACGTGGGGTCGTCACTCAGCGTTTTTGAATTCGGGGGGCCCGGGCGTGGCCGGAGTCGCCATCAGCGCTTGTTGGGGGGCCTCTCGGGACCCCCCACTTCCGAATTGGGCGGGGCAGTGAGAGGACCTGTTCCCTACGTGGCGGGCTGGGCGGTGGTCGTTCTAGGCTCAGCCCAGGCTTAGGGGCCTGAAGGTCACCTGGTGAGGAGACGATGCCACAGAACCCCAGGCTCTCCATCCCGAGCCCCCCGTACCAAGGTGACCTTCTAGGAAACATAAAAAAGAAAGTAGCGCCAGACACCTTGTGAAATAGACACTCCCCCGTTCTTTTGTTGGCGGAGGGAAAAGTTCTGGAAAGAAGCGCTGTCAGCGTAAAGTGAACTGAGATTTTGACTTTGCGGAGTGGTGGGACATGTCACGGTGACCTGCATTCTGTTGTTGGTGTGGCATCCTCAGGTTTCGCAGGGTTTGTCTCCGTAGGCAGCTTATAAAACAATGTTCATGAAGCTTTTGACCTTGCTAGGTGAAGGGTGTTGGATATTACAGAAAGGTAAAATATAATGATAAAGTGGGAAATGTCAAATGGTAATAAGGGAACGTTAACGGTTGGGCCGTTAAAATTTTATATTTCAAGTTTTCAAAGGCTGTAACCTTGAGTTTTTCCTGTGTTCTTTTCTTAGAAGTGGTGGGAAGTTAGTTGTGGAATAAAGGTAGCTTTGCAGATCATGACCTGAATGAATGACAGAAACCCCTAAATCCAAATGTGTAATTTTCATTTGTTTTCCAAAAATAACTACATTGGCCTTTGTAATTGGAGATTTTCAGATATAAATATGGAAACTGCAAGTGTTTAGGGCTTTATTCCCCATTCAGTATCCATCTTAACACAGTTTTAAAAGGAGGGACAGTTTAGGATCTAACGAATACGTCCAGAAGTAGGCATAGTTTTATATTGTTCGTATAGCAACAGAAGTCTCTTTGTCCTAATACCGTACAGTTGCTACCACATTTTCCTCAATGTAATGCCTATTTTGGGAGGGACTTAAATGGAGCAGGTGTGAATGATGATGAATCATGTTCTCAAACTGAGCTAATTTCCCTTTGTGTAGGTTATTGTTCTGTGTGTATGTAATGTATAAGAACCTTAACATAAACGTTCTCACGTTCAGAAATTAAGTTTTTTTAGTCCGGAAATTGAGTTTTTTCTTTTAAAAATACTTACCCTTGGAACGGACCACCTGCATCCTGTAGGAAGCCTGTTAACATTTCTGTAAAGTCCTCCTTGCCCCCAAGTTGTACCTGTTCTCTTAGAGCTATATCTGTCACTCACTAATTGTTCACTATGTTGATTGTTTGCTTACATGTTTGTTTCTCCCACTAGACTAAGCTCTTGGGACTGTGGACTGGACTGTCTTTGTATTTTTGGCATCTAGAACAGTGCTACCATGTAATAAGAGCTGTATTTTTCATAGTGTTTTGTTTCATTGAATAAATGTGGTGTTTCCCAAAGCAGATTGCAAATTTTGAGAAGGGAGAGTTCTTTATAGTTAAGGGGATTGAGCTTCAAACCAATATTGTTGCAGTAGGGGACACAGTTTCCTTCTTTTCCAAGCCCACCCTTTCCCAGTCCCACTACCACCCCCACCCCCACCCATGAGAAAGGAGACAAAATAAAAGTCAAACCCTAAATTATTTTGGGATCTAAGTAGGGTGGTGTACCTTTAGATTTGAGATGGTAGAACTTTGTCCTGCTCTCCAGGCCATAACTGTAATCCACACACTGGGTTAGTTAGGTCCTTGTCACAGGGAAGTTAGTCATTATCATTTTTTAAATAGGGGTGTCTGGATGGCTTGGTCGGTTAAGCGTCAGACTCATGATTTTGGCTCAGGTCCTTATCTCAGGGTTGTGGGATTGAGTCCCATGTCGGTCTCTCCACCGGACTTGGAGCCTGCTTGGGATTCTCTCTCTTCCTCTCCCTCTGTCCCCCCCCCCCCGCCCCCCAATTAGGAATTTCAGAAACTCTGCGTCTTCTGTGGATAGTTAAGCCTGGTTGCTAAATGGAATGTTTACACTGAAATAGATTTGGTTTCCGCACAGTACTTCATACCTACCCTGAGAGAAGATTTAAGGATATAAAATGAAGAGATTTACTCTCTCCCTTAAAAGTTACCATGGTCAAAGAGCGGGGGATTTTTACCATCAAACTTTACTAGCCAGAACTCAGCAAGCTGGAATTGATGCCACACTCAATTTTACAAAAGGCTGATGAAAAAATAAGTTGCTACCAAAGATCTAGTTTTGAAAATACATACATAGTATGTTACAGTGGTTACTGATATTTTCAGCAATAACTAGTACCTCTGCAAAATCCCATCAGAAGGTCCACATTTTAATATCCACTGTGTTTAATTAAGTCAAGAAAGAGTGATATGTATTTGGAAGATTTTTAACGAGATTTTAATTAGGGTTTTAGAAGGTGGTTCAGCTACATTTTCCCACACAAAGAGTTCCGTGAGTGTGATGAAACACAGAAAGTAACTGTCATGAAAACAGAAGAAAGAAAGCTAGGAGGAAAGACCCAAGGGACACTTTGCTATTGGCTAGGTTCAGCGTGGACAGTTCCTATTCACTTTCATACCACCCTCCTCACCATTTTTAGGCACTGTTTCACCTGGATTTTTTTCTCAAAATAGAGTCTTCTATAATAATATAAAAATAACAACTTCCATTTGTTGAGCACTATGTGCCAGGCCCTGTGCCCAATGCTTTATAAAATTATTTCAGTTAGTATTATATATGTGTATATAAGAGATTTATTATAAAGAATTGGCTCACATGTGTATGGAGGTTTGCACCTCCTGAGATCTGCAGCGTGAGTTGGCAAACTGGAGACCCGGGAGAGCCAATGGTATGGTTCTGTTCTAAGTCCAAAGGCAGGAAGAATTTGCTCTCACTGAGGGAGAGTCCGTCTTTTAATTTTTACAGGCCTTCAACTGACTGGATGAGGCCCACCAATGTTATAGAGGGCAGCTACTTAATCTGCCAATGTAAATATTAATCTCATCCAAAAACATCCTCACAGAAACGCTCAGAATAATGTTTGACCAAACATCTGACCACCCTATGGCCCAGTCAAGTTAATAAATTTGTTAACCATCACAGACCTATTGATTTCCAAAGCTCAAGGGATGTGAACCCACGTCCCATAATGTTATGCCACAATGTCTCCTTCTCACTCTAGGATTCACAAAGTAGCTTTAACCCTGGGCCTTTACCCCCTTATCTGGAATGTCTATCAAAGTTCATCGCACTCACACCCGATGAACACACCTAATTAGGGCAGGTGTTTAAATACCAGTAACCAACTCAGAATCCCCTCCCCCAGTAGCACATACAACATAGCCACTTCCTTAGGATAACTCTCTAGCTTTCAAATTCTATTCCAAACTTTGTGATTTTCTATTCACATAACCCTTTAATTCCCTCCACACTAGCAAATCTTACCTGACTCCTTGTTCAGTCCCCTTCATGTCCTCTTTGAAGAGCACCAAGCCAGTGAGCCCACGACCTTCCCTTCTCTTGGGTGCCTCCTTAGGACCAGTCTTTGCTATTGCTTACTCTTGACTCACTCCTGCCTTAATTGTCATTGTCATTTTAGAACTCTGACCTCTCCACCCTCTCCCCCCAACACAAGCAACTGTCACTGCAAGGACTTCACTTGGTTGAGTTTCAGACTGGTGAACCTACCTCCCAGAGATAGCTGATACAAAAATACTTCCATGATCTATGTACTTTTAATAAATACTGTTTACTCAATTTATTTGATCACAATTTTGGAAAGAATAAGAATTCTTAGAGTAATATTTTTTTGCTTAGTTGGCACTATTCTGTTACATGCTAGGACACCTAGGACACCTTTTGTAGGTATCATGGATGTCCTGACACCAGCATTTTTTCACAAACAGCCTCAGAGCATTTGTTCTTAGCAAGTTAGTTGTCCTTTAATATCCAGAATGTAGTCATTCCCAGCAAAGTAATGCTTTGAATACTTTCTCAGGTTTTTATGCAGTTTTTCATTGTTATATATTAGTAAAGTTAAAAACATTAGAGAACACTTAAACACATGAACAAAATCAGATTTTATTGGTATTCAAAAGATATAGTGGAGCCTGTCTAGCTTTTAAAACTGAAAATGTTGGGGCACCTGGGTGGCTCAGTCGGTTGAGTGACGGACTCTTGATTTCTGCCCAGGTCATGATCTCAGGGTCATCGGGCTCCACCCTGGGTGTGGAGCCTGCTTAAGATTCTCTCTCTCCCTATGCCCCTCCCCCAACCCCCTCCCTCCCTAAACAAAAACAAAAACAAAAAAACAACTGAGAATGTTAAGATGGCTATTGGGAGAGGGCAGTTGTTACAGATGTTATAGATATTAGCACTTAAGGTATTTTTCATTCTTCTAAAGGTTAATTTACCAAACACATTGGGCATTTTTATTACAGTCACAAATAAAAATACACTTTGCTTCCATATTAGAAAAAAAGTCCGGTGTGTATTTTTTGATAAATGACATCTGCCACAATTATATTCATTTAATCAAAATGAAAAAGTTCTGTTACACAAGTACCTTTGTTCCAGAGTTTCCAGGGCTTGGAATTATATTAGCCCTCTTAATTTAAACTGACTTGGTTGGCTTTGGTGTGTCTGATAGAATAAGAACAGAGGGTATTCAAGTTGAGATCCTAAAAATCTAAGTTGTTACGTTTGATGTGTAATTTAGTATTGTTTTACCAGCCAGATTCCAGTGACTTTGGTCTCTAAAACAATTATGAGGCTGGGCCCTTTGTAAATGGTTTCTTGGATGCTTTTTCATCTATTGAAAACTTAATAAAGAGGAGACATCACTTAATTACCCCTTCCTGTGTTCTTAATAGTGTTGTTATCTTTTTAAATCCAGGTTTGTTGAAAACAGTCATGTCTTTTCCTTTGCCTTTTTTAGAAGCAGAGCTACAATTATGTTTTAGGACACAATGGAATCTATCAATTAATAGAGCTAACAGATAATTCTTTGTCTTTAACTATTAAATGTAGAATTTCCAGCATATTATGTAAGCAGCATTTATGGTGATATTCTGGAAATTTAAATAATTGAAATTTTTAACAGATTTAGATTATTTTGTTTGAGATTTTAAAAAATATTATAGGGGTGCCTGGGTGGCTCTGTCGGTTAAGCATCTGCCTTCGGCTCAGGTCATGATCCCAGGGTCCTGGGATCGAGCCCCAGGTTGGGCTCCCTGCCCAGCGGGAGTCCACTTCTCCCTCTCCCTCTGCCTGCTGCTCCCATTGTTTGTGCTCTCTATCTCTCTGTCATATAAATAAATAAAATCTCTAAAAAAAATATAGAGAACATTGCCTTAGTGACATTATGGTTATAATAAAGATTTTGCGATCCAAATCCTTACTTTAAAAAAAGAACTAAAAACATTTTTCTTATATCCTATTTTAAAATGTTGATATTATTATATTGAATTATATAAAATCCAATTGGATTATTAGTGTTATAAGTAAATACAAAAAAATTACAAGATCTGCTTCAATCATGTAAATAAGATTTGTTTTACACCTAAATTGTAAACTGTATTTTAAATTTTATTTTATTTTTAGCTGGGTAGTTAAGATTTCAGGCTTTTTTTTTTTAAGTCAAGTTTACTGAGGTGACTTACATGCAGAAAAATGTATTCTTTTAGGTGTGAAGTTCTATGAATTCTGACAAACACAGCCATATAAGCATTACCACAATCAAGAGAGAACATTTCTACCACCCCAGAAAGTTCACTTGTGCCCCTTTTAGTTAATTCATTATCCTGAAAATAAAATTTTAAATAAAATAAGACTTTTAAAAACATGCCTGGTACACAGGCCTTGGGCCATTATTATTGTACACCAGATTATAACTTTAGTGGGAAGGCAAATGTAACTGAAACAAACCTAAGTTTTGAATATATTACTCTAAAATGATTCGATAGAAGTGTTCAAAACAAAGTGAAGGATTGATTTTATTGTTTTATTCCATCTCCTTGATGTATGTTTACCTTTCTTCACCCTACATCCATCTCAAACATCTTTTTTTTTTTTTTTAAAGATTTTGTTTATTTGTCAGAGCGAGTGAGAGAGCACAGCAGGGGCAGCGGCAGGTGGAGAGAGAAGCAGGCTCCCTGCTGAGCAAGGAACCCAATGTGGGACTCAAACCCTGGGATCATGATCTGAGCCGAAGGCAGACGCTTAACCCACTGAACCACCCAGGTGCCCCTCCATCTCAAATATCTTGATGTAACTAAATCCTTAAGGCATTTTCTTTTGCTAGCTTGTATTTTAGTCTTTTCAGTGAATATTAAAAGTGGAATATTGTCTCTGCCCTTCTGAAATAAGCAAGTTAAGAGCAAGAACAATGTCATCTTCATTGTTTATTACCATCTCTTCCATACAAAAAAAGCCTAATACTTATTAAATGATGGAATTTTCTTTGTTCCAAGCTGAGCAGAGAGGGGTTTGAGAATGACTAGGATTTTCTCCAATAAACATTGATAGTGTTGGTAGTGCTAGGTTAACACTTAAAGCTCAGTTTAAAACCTAGATTTTAGAGTTAGATCTAAATTTCTTTCATCCTTTTTTTAAATTGAAGTATAGTTGACGTACAATGTTATATTAGTTTCAGCTCTGCAACTCACTAGTGATTTGACACTTCTATACACTGTCCTGGGCTTACCACCATAAGTGAAATTGCCATCTGTCACCACACAACATTGATTACAGTGTTATTAACTATATTCCCTAGGCTGTGCTTTTTATCTCCTTGACTCATTTGTAACTGGAAATTTGTATCTCTTAATTCCCTTCACGTATTTTGCCCAACCCCCCCCAACCCCCTCCGCTCTGGCAACCACCAGTAATGTTCTCTGTATTTATGAGTCTGTGTCTGGTTTTTTTTGTTTGTTTGTTTGATTGCTTACTTGTTCATTTGTTTTTTAGATTCCACATATAAGTGAGATCATACGGTATTTGTCTTTCTGTCTTACTTATTTCACTTAGCATAATACCCTCTAGTTCTACCAATGTTGTAAATGTCAAGATCTCATTCTTTTTTATACCTGAGTGATATTCCAGTGTGTGTATTTGTGTGTGTGTGTGTGTGTATACGTATGTACACCACATCTTTATCCATTCATTTATCAGTGAACATTTAGGTTGCTTCGATAAGTTGGCTATTGCAAATAATGCTGCAATAAACATAGGGGTGCATATACCTTTTCAAATTTGTAGTTTTGTTTTCTTTGGGTAAATATCCAGTGGAATTACTGGATCATATGGTATTTCTATTTTTAATTTTTTGAGGACCCTCCATACTGTTTTCCATAGTGGTTGTACCAGTTTACATTCCCACCAGCAGTGCACGAGGGTTCCCATTTCTCCACATCTTCACCAACACTTGTTATTTCTTGCCCTTTTGATGCTAGCCATTCTGACAGGCATAAGGTGATATCTCATTGTGGTTTTGATTTGCATTTCCCTGATGATTAGTGATGCTGAGCATCGTTTCATGTGGACCTACATTTGAATACTGACTTTATCATTTATTTGGCTATAAAACTTTAGGCAAATTCATTTCTATGAGCATCAGTTTTCCTATCTATAAAATCACAATAAAAAAACAAAATTCATTAGAACTGCTATGAGGAGGGATTTGAGATTAAAGCACCTGGCAGAGAGTCTTGCTCATAGCCCAATCCTTTCAACTTGAAATCTTAAGGTATTTTAACTCAGGTACCACAGCTGTCTATGGTGGAGGAGAGAATTAGCTTTTAGAATGCAGATGGGGGTGGCTGGATCTGACCTGTGGGCTCAAGCAGTGTAATTACCCTCCCAGTTTGTGTTTTGGTTAATTACAGATTTTCATTTACAGGATTTTCTTGGAGGAAAGAAAGAAGAGTGGCAATGGTGAAGAGAAAGGAAACCAGATGGGGAAATTGAGAAAGGGAGAGATATTGACTGAATGAATGATGAATGAATGAGCAAACAGAGCAAGGCACCAAAAAGGGTTAGTAATATTATCCCATATAAGCCAGCTTGGCATATGGCATCTAGAATACAAAAGGAAAGGAGTAAGGAAGTTATACAAACAACATGGAAAAAAAATAGGTATCTAAATATTTTGAAAAATATACACTGAAAACTCCAAAGTTTCCCTTTATACAGTGTTACTTTGTATATATTATATAGTATTAAGGTTCAGAAAACTGGTTCAGTTATTTACCTGCTCTGATTTCCTAAAGTTGTTAAATAATTTGATCAGTACAATGGCATTAGGATAGCTAAATTATAAACATAATGAAACAAAGAATGCTACTTTTTAAATGCCCAATAAGCCCAGATAAAAAAAGACTTTTCTATGGCCAGCCAAACTCTCCAGGGTAAAGGTAGAATAAAGACAATTTCAAATAAGCGAGATCTCAAAAAAAATTATTTCTCATTTGCTCTTGTCTCAGGAAGCTGCTAGGGGGCTGCTCTGTCAAAATGAGAGAATAAACCAAGAGGAAGGTGTCAGATCCTGGAACCAGGGGCTCCAACCAGTGTTGCAGAGGAATAAAGGTAACTTTCAAAAGTATTACTAACACAGAAGATTAAAATAAAAATTGAAGGAGTACAGGTGAAAGGAAAAATTAGTTAAGAAAATAGAAGCTAAGAAATAAGAGGAAGAGAAACACATACTCTGAACCTGTTTCAAGAATGAGATGGCAAATCTGGCCCTTAAGTCTCCTAGCATCCAAAGCAAAAGGGAAAGTAAGCTCACTTGCAAGTTCTGTAATTCCTTAAGATAAAAACAAAGTGGTTGTTTCCCAAAAGACTTATTGTAGATCTTATAAAAAGGATCCTTCGCTCTTAATTTTATCCCCACAATAGAATATTGTGTTTCATATGACTTTCTTAGAGTGTACTTTACAGCCCCAAAGCATTATTAAGTAAAGACAATTCTGTAAGGACTCAGGAGTACTCTCCAAGATGAATCAAGAGCATGTGAATGGCTGGTCAGGTTATTATTAATTGACATCCCATTAAACTTCATGGGAGGCTAGAAGGAGGTTGGTAGGTTAGTCTGTTATCCTGGACAATTTAGCTCTTTCCCCGAACTAGCCCCCTTAAAGCAAAACAAGTTCTCTTAACTGCACTTGTCCTCAGTAATAGGCAGTTTAGCAACTGTCTGGATGTTGGAGCATGTTCATTTGGGGGTCTCGTGCCCCACCCCAAATGGTTCATCAGAGTATGCTGTCCTATCTCAGTTTCTGAGAGAAATTTTGATAAACGCAATTTTCTCTAATGCGTTACATTTCCACTAATGTTTTAGTACCTTTAGACTGGATTTTCTGGCTCTCCCATTAATCTAACTCTCAGTACAATCTAGATAGAAAACTTTCTGATTGCCCTGTTTCTTCACCAGGTAACATTCAGGATATCATGTCCATCAAGCAATCTTTCATAAGCATTTATTTCCTATAACCAGACTTATATTAATAATTAAGATTGCATTTAGTTAGAAGCTATAGTTTGGACAACTGACTAGAATTTTCAGTTACCTATCACATATCATCCCCCTAACCACTGATGAGAATTTACAACACCACGTGTACAGTTGTCAGTTTTGAAAAATTCAACCCCTTTTGCTTTCATCTGATAGATTTTCCATTAAGAATTATTTTTAATAATTCTTATTATATCATATCTTACATTATTATAATAATAATTCTTAATGGAAAATCAAGCATAATTTTTATAACTCCTTGAGTGTTTGCCATTATTTAACCTATAGTTCACTGGTTATTGAATAAACCTTAGAAAGAAGTGTATTTTTTAAATAGCTTTTGAACCAACCTTTAGAAAGATAAAAGTTTTTGCTATTAATCTCTTTTGTGTCTAGCAGAGTATGTTTATTTACACATAAATAACTAAATCTCTCTGACACCCTAAAATTTGAAACCTTAAAAGTAGACTTCTCTTTGTACAGTACTATTACCTGCTCTTTTCCAGGAAGCTAATTAATAGGATTATACTTCAAAATAATAAACTGCCTCCCTGCCACTTATAGGTCAGTTATTACTATGGTAGCATTTCTGCTGTCTTTAATAGAGTCTAGAAATGCTTGAAACTGAAGACTAGAAAATACGGTGGTAGCCTAATAGAGTCCATGGTGACATTTTTATTCCGACCCGAAGTGAATTTCCATATATTAAATAAAAATTCAGCGAAACAATATTTCTTCTCTCTTAAATCAACATTTGTCATTGCTGCAAAAATATATCTAACCAGTTCTTTTATTTTTTTATGACTGTTGTTAATTTTTGCTCTTTTTAAAAATAGAAAAATATTTTTATCAAACTTGATATGATTTAGAAGCAATGATCTCTGAAATACTGAATGATGTATTTTTATAAATAAAACTGTCATAAATTTAGAAATCAGTTTTGTAAGTGAGAAAATATCACAGATGTTGAAGAGGATATTTTTTCATAAAAAATTTCTAAATTTAGGCAAATTATTTTGACTCTAGAAAAATCTATACAAAAAGAATTTTCAGAAGTGATATTGGCAAGATGGCAAAGTAGGAAGCCCTGGATCCTGCTTCCCTCACAAACACACCAGCTCAGCAACAATTCATGAACAAATTCATTTTATGTAAAATCTAGAGACTAATTGAAAGGCTCTTGCATCCTAGGTGAATATGAAACCATACTCACCAAAGCCAGTAGGGAGATTCAGGACCCCTTTTCACCAGAGTCCCTGCTCCCAGCACAATGCCATATAATCAGGAGGAGAACCCCTAACTCCCAGCTTCTCCTAGGGAAGGGAGAGTTTGGTTTATGCATCTAGCACCCTGGAATTTCCCAGGGAGCTCCCAGAGGACTGGTTCTGTCTTGTAAGTCTTAGAACTCTGATGGGTCCAGCATAATCTAGCCACCTGAGGGAGAATGGAAACAGCAGCTTTGGTTGGTAGATGTCATAGATCTTCCTTCCTGCTAAGCACAAAGTGAACAGATGTCAGTCTTGGAGCTCTGATGAGTCTGGTGCTATCTAGCACCTCGGGGAGAATGGGGACTGTGGTTTGGACTGATAGATACAATAGCTTCCTCACACCTGACTTAGCACAGAGCAAGTAGACAAAAACCACAGCTTCCTGCTTCTCCCTGTGGAGGGAAAGAGTTGATAGAGGCTCCCCAAATCCTGGGCAGGGTTGATAGGTGGGAGTCTTCTCTTATACAAGGTCAGTCCATGAAGACTGGTGCAGGTGCCTGCTTTGCTCAGCGTACAGACACCAACACAGACAAAGAAAATGAAGAATCAGGCAAAGGTGTTCCAAACAAAGAAGGAAAATAAATTTCTAGAAACTGACTCTAATGAAATGGAGTTATAGGATTTACCTGACAGAATTCAAAATAACTGTCATAAAGATGCTTTTTGAGGTCAAGAGAAAAATGCATGAACAAAGTGGGAATTTCAACAAAAATATAGGCAATATTAAAAAGTACCAAACAGAAATCATGGAGCTGAAGAACACAATAACCAAACTGAAAAATTCACTAGAAGGGTTTAATAGCAGACTAGATCAAACAGAAGAGTCTGTGAACTTGAAAACAAGTCATTGGAAATAATTCAGTCAGAGGAGCAAAAAGAAAAAGAATGAAAGAGAGTGAAGAAAACTTAAGGGACATCATCAAACAGTAATATATGCATTATGAAAGTCCCAGAGAAGAGAGGGAGAGAGAAAGGATCAGAAAGCTTATGCAAAGAAATAATGTCTGAACAAACCTGTGGAAGGAAATGGACATCCAGAGCCAAGAAGCTCCCAAAACACTAGTTAAGATGAATGCAAGGAAATCCACACTGAGACACACAATCAAACTGTCAAAAGCAAAGACAAAGACAATTTTGAAAGCAACAAGAGAAAAGCAACTTGGCATGTACAAGAGAACCCTCATAGGACTATCAGTGGATTTTTCAGCAGAAACCTTGCAGACCAGAAGGGGATAGAATGACATATTTAAGGTGTTAAAAGAAAAAAAAATGCCAACCAAGAATACTGTACTCAGCAAAATTGTCCATCATAAAGGAAGGAGAAATAGACTTTCCCAGACAAAAGTTCAAGGAGTTCATCACCACTAGCCCTGCCTTAGGAGAAATGCTAAAGAGAATTCTTCAAGTTAAAAGGATGCTAAATAACAACATAATAGCATAAGATAGTATGGAACTTTGGTGAAGGTAAATATATGGACAAATACAGAACATCATATTACTATAATGGGTAGTGGGTAAATCAATTTTAATTCTAGTATAGAAGTTAAAAGACAAAAGTATTAAAAGTAAATATACCTAAAAATATGTTAAAAGATGCACAACATGAATGCATGTAAATTGTGACAACAGTAACATAAAGTATTGGGGGAGAAGTTGAAGTTTAGAGTTTTTATATGTAATTGAACTTAAGTTGTTAAAATGGACCATTACAGGGGCACCTGGCTGGCTTAGTTGGAAGACCATGCAACTCTTGATCTCAAGATCACAAGTTCAAGCCCCATGTTAGGTATAGAGATAACTTAAAAATAAAATCTCTTTTTAAAAAAATAGACTGTTATAACTATAAATATTTTATGTAAGCTCCAAGGTAACCCCCATACATGCATACAAAATCCCTATAGTAGTTACACAAAAGAAAAAAAGAAAGGAATTAAAACATACCAATGCAATATATTTAGATAGACATATATATAGACATATAGATAGATACAGAGAGAGACATATAGAGACTATATATCCATATAGATATGTATGTATATCCATATATACACGGGAAAACAAGAGGTAAAAACAGACAAGAGGAGTACAAGACTAATAGAAAATAACTAACACAATGGCAATAGTAAATTCTTCCCTATCAATAATTAAATGTAAATGGATTGAATTCCCTATCAAAAGGCATAGAGTGGCTGAATGGATAAAAAACAAAACAAAACAACAACAACAAAAAAAGACCCAACAATATACTGTCTACAAGAAACTCACTTTAGATTTAAGGACACATATATGCTAAAAGTAAAAGGAAGAAAAAGATACTCCATGTAAATGGTAACCAAAAGAGTATAGAGGTGGCTATGCATGTATTAGAAAAAATAGATTTTAAGTCAAAAAATGTCCCGAGACAAAGCACATCATATAATGATTGAAGGGTCAATCCACCAGGAAGGTATAACAATTATATATGCATACAACATCCTAGCACTTAAATATATAAAACAAACATTGATAGAAATGAGGGGAGAAATACATAGAGATCCAGTAATAATAGGAGATGTCAATATCCTACTTTCAATAATGGATAGAACATCCAGATAGAAAATCAATAAGGAAACAGAGGATTTGAACAACACTGTTGACCAAATGGACCTCATAGATGTTATACAGAACATTCCACCCAAAGCATATACCTTCTCAAGTGCATACAGATCTTTCTTCAGGATAGATCACACATTAGGTCACAAAACAAGTCTTAGGAAATTTAAGAAGATTGAAATCATATCAAGTATCTTTTCTGACTACATGGA